TGTAGCTATTAAAAATGAAAAATTAGAAAAGCAAGTAGTAGAAAAGAAAGTAGTGTGCAATGTTATTTCATATATCTTCTTTGGGAAAACCTTGAACAGGCCCTGTTCTCCATATTAAACAAAGGTTCATTAAAGATAGAGTGGAGTTAAGGGAAAGGCTATCAGCTTGATGTCAGGAATGCACAACTTATTTCATGAGACAAAATTGAAAAAACTTGCAAACAAAACTAACATGAGGGAAATGCTCTCTGTAAACACATGAATGAATAAACAGAGCTTGCAGGTGTTTATAGTCTGCTATTGATCTTTGAGATCAATGTCAACATAAGAATAGGTATGTAACTGCTAAAATAAATTTAAGATAAAAAAAGGAAAGCATTTTACTCATGTGAGAAACATATTTCCAGAAGGACTTTATCTGCAGATTATAATGGCACTAACTGACTTTAAAAGTCACCTGCATATATATTGTTATATTCTAAACATATATGTATATCCACATTTCTACATAATCAAAGTGTTTACACTATCAAATTATAGGACATAGCACTGAGGGATCTACTTCCAGTTTATTCTGAGTCATAAAAGTGAACTCAGCTCAGCCAAAACAACATTTATACCAAGTGGTTTAATAGCATTTATTTTGATTGGAATGTGCATCACTTTCTTCTTCCCTCATCTGACTAAAATCTGCACGAACACTTTAAACATCATTCACTCCCTAGGTGCTTAATGCAAAGCTTATTTAGTCAGAGTATTTCCATTGACTTCTGTGTGCTTTGGATTAGATTCTATATCCTTACCTATCAACCAGCTGCTGCTAGCTTCCAGTTTTATCAGAATATTACACTGCTTTTCTCTTTTTCCCATGATCTTGAAAGGCAAAGAAAGAGGTATGCTTTGGTTGCCCTGTCTGTTCTTTAATATGCTTAGATTGCAGTTATTTCCTGCTGAGCCCTGGATGAGGCTTAGTTTGTTGAGCAACTTTTTAATCATCTCACAGAATGAATGAGCTGGAAGATATATCAGGCTTCTATCAGAAGATGAAAAATGTAGAAACTTATCAGTACCTCTCTTCCTGTAGATATATTGCAGGTCAAAAAACCCCACTCTGTACAGCACTTATTACTCTTATAAAGGAAGTTAGAATTGTAATTATGTGAATGATGATCTCAAAAAAAAAAAAAAAAAAAAAAAAACCCAAAAAAAAAATTTTCAAAATAGTTGAAGCAGGCATAAATGTATGGCTTTCTGTACCTGACAAAAAGTGCAGAAGTGGAAACAGGAGAACAAAGACAGGCTACATTTATGCAGCACCTTCCCTAGACTCAAATTCCTATTTTGTCCGAGCGTGAAACCTCTTCAATGAAGCTGCACAATACAGAGGAATGTTCATGAAATGCTGCAGGGGCCTCTGACTTTTCACACCGTTGCTTCCTCCTGCTCAGCATTAAAAGTAGATGGGAGCAAGTGAGCACCCCATACACATTTTGGTGAATAGTCACAGCTCTATTGGGGTCAAAAAGTATTAGGGTCAAAGGTATCAGGGAAAAAAATTACGTGCTGTTAATAAACAGAAACATCAACATTCAGAAATAAGTAAGCGAATATATGTCTAAACTTAAAAATAACATTTTGGGTACAGCCAACAATGTATATTGTGGTTAATTTACAGAAGAGGATACACCTGTGCAGAATTCAGTTATCCATCACAGCACTTGAATTTTAATATATGAATTTCTTTCTCTGAGCTCTGCAGAGCTGCCATTTTGCTCAGATATTTCTGTTTCCACCCAACAGAAAGATGACACCGGATAATAAATAAATAAATATACGTAGAGCATAGAAGTGAAAAATGAAATTAAGTTGAGAAAATTTCATCAGTATGTAGAAGCAAAATCACTAAAAAAAAAAAAAAAGCCTACATACAGTGCATACTGTGTATAAGGATTAGCTGACAGAAGTAAGACAGAATAGGAACTTGAGGATAACTTTATTTCAATATGACTGTTTTACTGGTACTCAACATGTTGCTTGATACAAGACTTTCCTTTGTATCTGTCATTCTCTGGTACACAAATTTGTTTTAAACTCTCTTTAGAATGAGCTGCCTTGACTTTCCAGCAGTCCATAAAATAAAGAGGAAACAACTGCCATGTATTAAAAGATGAACACTGAGCCAAATCCAGGATACATTCAAAAACTATAGAATTGCAAAGCTGTGGTCTGAGGAACCTGGAAAGAGCCATTTGTTAGTGGCTTACTGGGTGACTGAGCAGGTCACTGCAGTTCCTTCCATCTCACAGAGATAATTTACACAGTGCTTTGATACCTTAAATGTGCTCACTGTTGATACTAAATTTATATAAAAATATACACTTTAAAATATAAGACATTGTAGAAAAAAAGTCCTACATTATTTCTAAAATTAACAGTGGTGTTCTGTGTTGGTGAATCCAGTATGTGTAAAAACTGTACACATTTAACATTTCCTGTGACAATTAACACATTTTTCTTTCTTTGTCATGCTACTTGGTTTCCATACATTTCATTTAAATTAGATCCAGCCTTAATTATTTCCCCTGGATATCTCATTGTTTCTCCTTAGTATTAGATATAATATCCCTGTTTTTGCTATGAATTCATGCATACTACTTTTTTTTTCCCTATAGTTTTTTTGTTTTGTTTTGTTTTGTTTTTCATTTAAAGAAATGGAACAGTAGTTTAAATTAAAAAAAAAAAAAAAATTAATTCTATAAACTAATGGAGCAGTGTACAGCACTTATTTGTATTCCCACAAATCCAGAAAATCCAGTAGTTCTCAATAAAGTGTAAGAATACCCCATATCTGCCTTCCCTCATGAAAATTTGTATTCTATTTAAAAACTTTTCAATTAATTTTCCTTCTGATTTCAAGGACTACATTCTGTCCCCACTAAGACAGCTGGGAACATTTCTGCATGATTTTGAATGCTTGGATATTTTGGCACCTGAAAAAGCAAACAAACAAGCAAACAAACAAACAAAAAAACCTGAACCACTGCCAAAAACACTGCTTGGAAAAGACCTTTCAGAGCTGATCCTATGGAATTATGAGTTTTTTAAACAAACAAAAAAGAAAAAAAAAAGAAAAGCCTCAAGGCCTCAAGCTCAATCATTGCAATTTGTAGAGACAATATACACTGAAAGAAATAAATAAATTTTAAAAATCAAGTGACTATCACTTTTACTTAATGTTACTTGGAAGAATTCTTTGTAAATGTAAGAACTCAGGTTGGTGGAATGATGTTGATGCAAGAAAACAACCTTTTATTTTGAACAGACTTCAAATACTGCTTTAAGAACAAGCACATAATTATGTAAGATTTAAACACTGTTTGCTCTGACAGTAACTGTGGTGTGTTATCCAGTTCAAACTGCTTACAGTGAGTAAAAGAGAGAGGATTTAAACAACATAACCAGTTCCACATTTAGCCAGCATTCAGTTCAACCAGCACATATGCAGTTATTATCAGCTTAAAAGTAAATCTTCGGTTTCCCTACTTAAACACTTAAGTTTTAATGTCCATCAGAAAGGCTGCAATGAATAATTTAATCACTTCTGTCCACTTCACGCTGCTACACAGTGAGCATTTCTGCAAAGCTATGGAAGGCACTGGGCAAGTGTCAGCCCTCCTTGTAATTCTACGACCTCCGCACGCAAACGCTGCGGCCAACTCGGGAGCTCGGAGGGAGGGGAGGAAGGTGAAGGGATCACAGCAGAACTGCACCAGAGCAGCGGAACACTTTAGAGAGATGAAAGGTCAACGCGGGCTTGGCGCTGTTGCGGTGTCATTTCCTCTGTTTGTCCCTTGGTGGAGTTCTTGAGTTAGTTTCTCCCTTCAGTCAAACGGTTTAAACTGCTTTCTGCGGGGTTTTTGTCGTTGTTTTTCTCCCGCGTTCGAATTTGCTGTCATGTTTACTGTATTTAACCTTTTCCTCGTATTATTATGAATTATGTTAGTTCCTAGCTCACCTGTTTTTTTCCCCCCTTCTTTGATGCGCATACTTGTGTGCGCACAAACTAATAATAATATGCACTGATTAATGCACAAAGCTATATAGATGATTAAATAACCCGTCTCTTGAGGTTGGCTCCCACTGCAGAGCAGAGAGGTAAAGCTCTGGTCGAATGCACCGACATTCCCCACCTGCAGAACCGAACCGTCCCAGGCTGGGGGCGGAGGGAGCAGGGATGGCCGGAACACAGCCGAACAAACGCTAATGGCATCTGCATATCTCAGCCGTGAGCCCGTCTTTCCAATCACTGCCACAATAGGAAAGCCCCTCTGCAGAGCTTCCGAAAGCAGCGTTGGGGGTGCAGAGGAGCGGGAAAGCTCCCAGCCTGCTTTAGGATTCCCCCACGTAAAGCTGGCTGCGAATGTCAGCAAGACGGATTCCTTCCCACACGCACGATGCCACCTCCGTGGCCTTATCAGATGTTCCCTTTAAGGACACAAGCTCTTATTTCCCCTCTGTATATCTCCGGTATCTCGGGCTATTTTATTTATTACAGCCGATTACGCTGGCGATCCCGCTTCCCACTTGATCTCACCAGATCAGGAGGACAAACGTCTGAGCGCGTGTGGGCGTCTGTGTGCATCGGGTGGGCGGGGGGGGGGGGGTTGCGCTGCGCAACAGCTTTGCCCGGGGGGCTGGGGTGGGGGAGTCCTCCCCCCTCCCGCAGCCGCTGGGACTGGCGCTCTGCGGCGCCGGGGGGTGGCTGGGCTTCCCTTCCCCCCCATCTCCCCAGCACGAAACGAAATAGCGGGATGAGGAGGGGGGGGCCAGCCCCCCCCGGCCCCCTCCCGGCAGCCGGGACACGTGGAGCGAGAGCGGCGCTGCCATCCACCATGCAGCGCACGTCGGGCCCATTTCCCACGCCGTTTGCCTGCCCTGGGGGAAGAAAAGGAGGAGGGGGAGGAAGGGGGAATGATGGAGAAGGTGGGGGGGGCCGTTACCTCTGCTCCGAAAGAGGAACCAATCCACTGTGAAGGACGAAGCACTCCCGAGCAGAAAAGACATTGCACATTCAGAGAGAGATTGCATGTGAAGACACTGTAAAGGAGAGAGAAGGGGAGGGGGGCCGGGGCAGCCCGAGTGTGAAAGGCGCAGTGTGTGTACGGAGGCCAGGAACGGGGCGGGGGGCAAGAGGGGAGTGGGGGATGGGGAGGGGGATACTACACATGGCAAGAGAAAGAGATCACTCATTCGCTTGGAAAACGCACTCGCCAAGCAAACCGCGGTAGTAGATATGGGGGACAACGGGGAAGAAGCCGCGGCCAAGAGGAGTCCGCGCAGTGCAACAGCCCCGAATCCGATTAAAGTTTATGGCGGGGAGGTTACAAGCTCTCCCACCCCGCCCTTCCTCTGGCGAAGCCATTCAGTGTCCCGATCGCATTATAAAGCACAAAGGGATGGGAATAGTGGGATCTTCGGGTTGCGATAGTGTGGCTGGTGCGGGGAGCAGTGTGATGCAGTGCGCTGGCATTCCCTGCGTGCTGCTATGTCGGCATTTTACACTTCCTCCTCTCGGAGCTCCAGAACAGCGAGGGGGAATTTTGATAAATTCAAGTTGCTTGGTAAATATAATAGGGATTTGGTATTAATCCTACTTAACCCGCTGCGAAGATGCTGAGCTGCCGAGTCCCCCTCCTCCGGCCGGGACTGCGGCTATGAGCACTGAGCCTGCGCCGAGCCGCGCTTTCTCGCTGATGCTGCAGATATAAAGCCGAGAATCTCCGGCATTTGTGGGGGTGGGTTTGTGCGTCCTGGCGAGAGTGGCCGGGCCGGGAAGAAACCCCGCAGACCTCCGGAGCGGTTCCTCCCGCCCCCGCTCCACACAGCGTGGTTCTGCCCCTCGGGACACCCCGGGGAAAGAGGTGGCAACCTTCCCTCCCTCCCACGTTCACTCACCGCCCCGAATGACAAAGGCACACTGCGAGCAGAGCTTTGAACCACCTCAATATCCGGCCACTTTCTCTCAAATGTCATCGCGGTGAATGAAAGACAATTCGCTATACTCGCCCTCATGTGTGTTTTTTTTGTTTTTTGTTTTTTTTTTTTTCCTTTTATTCAGAATTACCGTGTAATGCCAGAAGTCCTCACATACAGAACCCGCAGTAACTTGTTTTCCCACATGAGCACGCGGGGGAGGGGGGGGCAGCTGGAGTCGTGCCCTCGCTGCTCACACACTGGGCTGCTTCCCACTGGAGGCCTCGCATCGCCTTTGCTCCCCTCTGCCCCCCGAGTTCCGAGAGGACAGTACAGCCGCGGGATTCACCAGAAGCGCGGGGGCAGGGGCACGTAGATGCCATCGACAATTAAATAGCACAAAGTCAAAAGGAGAAGCGAACAGGAGACGCAGGAATGAACAAAGTTGAGTGGAGAGGTTCCACGTTAAAGTTTATTTCCCTCTCACCCTGGTAGGTGACGCTACATTTTAGCAATCATCGAAGCAGAAATTCTCTGTTTGAAAATAAATCTGTGATGACTTATACATGTGCTCGTTCTCCTGACCCTCTCAACCCCATTCCTGACTTTTTTTTTTTTCTTTTTCTTTTTTTTTAATGCTTGGAAACCCACAAACACGCTGAAAGAACACATTCGGATCATGGCAATCGGAAGTACACGAGCACAAAACCCGAAAGGCTTCAATAGCAATGGGAAACAGGACGAAAGTCTGAGGCCAGGGGCAGCTCCCTCCTCCCCGGGGTTATGAGCAGTTCCAGGGACTGCAGCTATGTCACAGCAGCACGGACGCGAAAGGGGGAGGTGGGAATCTGTGCTAAACGAGTTTCCTTACCAGCACGATTCCGCAAAACGCAGAGCCCCCAACGTGCAGCAGCTCTGCCTAAGAGAAAGGCGAGTAAACATTTGCTTAAAAAATCGTTGCTCGGTTCACAGTCTACAGCGGAGGTGGGGAGGGAGTGAGTAGGATTGAATCGCTCCAGATGCCGGGTTGGAGCCGGCGGCAGCAGCAGCAGAGCTGGCTCTGAGAGCTGAGCTATCCCGCTCGCAGCGCAGCATAGAACAGCACAGCCGCGGCAGGCAGAGGATAAGGCTGGGCTTGTGGAGCGCAGCGCTTGGCTCGTCCTCCTCCTCCCTCCTCCTCCTCCCTCCTCTCTCGCTCTCTCTCTCCCTCTCTCTGAGCATGTAGAGCAGGCGGCTGTGCTGCAGCGTCAGGGAAGAGCTGCCGAAAGAGACTCCAGCAGCTCCCACCACTTTGGGCAAACTTGCCGGTTTAACAGCTTTTTTTTTTTTTTTTTTTTTTTTTTTTTTTTTCCTTCCGAGTGGGAAGCTCCTCAGTTGCCATTCAGCATTTTAAAGCACAAGCTGCTCTGCCGTGAAAGCTCCCGAGCCACACTGCTCTGAAAGGCACAGGAGGGAATACACAATCGCAGATTTCACCCGCCGTAGCGGTGCAGACCCCAGGAAACAACTGACTGATTGCATTTTATTCGCAAATAGAACTCCGTGTGGTTTTTTAATCGCGTCGCGGCTCTCTTCCCCTCCCCTTTGCCATTCCGCTTATATGGATGTAATTCAGAATCCGTGTTAATTCACGTGGGGGATCCAGTTACATCTCGTTCCGCTCCGGGTATGTTAACGAGAGACCAATAATCGCCTTTGGACACATAGTTTTGTCGCTAACCTTTGAACTGAAAGGATCGAGTTCAGATCTGGTTACCTGCATTGGGACGGGAAGGAAGAGGCGAAAGAGAGAGAGGAGAGAGAGGGAGAGAGAGACTGCAATCTCATTTGTGAATCGCGCTCAGTGCTGCAGCTCCAGATTGCTATAACACATGCAGTGCAAATGCAGGTAAGGCACACACACAAACCGCGGATGCGAAAACAAACTTGGGACTGTGGTGTGTGTGTGCTCAGATCTACAGCCTTGCAAATTCCGGGCAAACGGCTTCTGCAGTTTCTGTCTCGTTGCTTTGTGACTAATGACCTTGCGCAGAGTTGGTAAAAAAAAATCCTCTCCGGAGAAAGAGCTGAACATTGTAGGCGATCTCTGAAGATGGATTTAGGTGCTTTTCTGCCAACCAAAGGGGATATTCCACGGACTGCTCTGTAATACACGGGGTGCTTCTGCTACCCATTGTGCAGCTACCGACATTATTGGGATTTTCATTTTTTTTTCCTTATCTTTTTAAATTATTATTAATATTTTTGAAGAGCTGCCCATGCTAAGAGGATCTGGAGTTCTCCCGGACATGAGCCCGTTGAATAAAGCAAATCACATTTTTTTCCTGTGTGTGCAGATAGGGGAGAGAATAAATCTAATGCGTTTGTCGTGAACGACTGAGAGGGCGAGAGAGAGAGAGAGAGAGAGAAGAGAGAGTGTGAATTGTAGTTAACTCCGGTGTCGAAGAAGACGACCTGGGGGGCTTCAGATCGCACGGTGCTGCTCCGGCTTTTATTGCAAACCTTGCAAAGTGATTACAGTAAAATCAGGAGGAGGAGGAGAAGGGGGAGGAGGAGGAAAATCCCATCCTATCTGCAGAGATGAATCTTTAAAAAGCAAAATACACTGTCCCGTGAACTGTAAGTATATCGCAGCTGGGAGGCAGGGCGAGCAGCGGAGGAGGCAGCAGCGGGGTTTTGCCCACCGATTGCACCAGCCATGAGGCGCTAAGTTTCCGGGAGCAGAAGGATTCTATAATTGCTCGCTCGGCCGCTCTGTTGGCTCATCAAGGGAGTTTATCGGGAAGCGAGAGGAGGGGGGGGGGGGGGGGGGGGAGAGAAGAAGATGAGGAAAATGCGGACTCTTCTCGGCTTTGTGCACTGCTGCTGCTGCTGCTTCTTGCTCCTCCTGCCTCCGCCGCTCCGGGTCAGCCTGGCAGCGGCCAAGCAGCTGCTGAGGTACCGGCTGGCCGAGGAGGGACCCGCCGACATCCGCATCGGTAACGTGGCCGCCGACCTGGGCATCGTGACAGGCTCCGGAGAGGTGACATTCAGCCTGGAATCAGGTTCCGACTACCTCAAGATCGATAACATGACCGGGGAGCTGAGCACCACGGAGCGGCGCATCGACCGCGAGAAGCTGCCGCAGTGCCAGATGATCTTCGACGAGAACGAGTGCTTCTTGGACTTCGAGGTGTCGGTCATCGGCCCCTCGCAGAGCTGGGTGGACCTCTTCGAGGGCCGGGTCATCATCCTGGACATCAATGACAACACCCCCACCTTCCCTTCCCCCGTCCTCACGCTCACCGTGGAGGAGAACCGGCCCGTGGGGACCCTCTACCTGCTCCCCACCGCCACCGACAGGGATTTCGGCCGCAACGGCATCGAGCGCTACGAGCTGCTGCAGGAACCCGGAGGGGACGGGGGACGGCGCGGCGGCGGCGGCGGCGGTGGAGGCGGCGGCGGGGGCGGTGCTGCGGCGGCCGGCTCGGAGAGCGCCCTCTATCCCGGCGGCAGCAAGCGGAGGCAGGAGGCGGAGGCCCGCAGCAGCGTGTTTGAGCTGCAGGTGGCCGACACCCTGGACGGGGAGAAGCAGCCGCAGCTGATCGTCAAGGGGGCGCTAGACCGTGAGCAGCGGGACTCCTACGAACTGAGCCTGCGCGTGCGCGACGGCGGCGAGCCCGCGCGTTCATCACAGGCCATCCTGCGCGTGCTGATCACCGACGTGAACGACAACAGCCCCCGCTTCGAGAAGAGCGTCTACGAGGCCGACCTGGCGGAGAACAGCAGCCCCGGGACCCCTATCTTGCAGCTGCGAGCCACCGACCTGGACGTAGGGGTGAACGGGCAGATCGAGTACGTCTTTGGGGCAGCCACCGAGTCGGTCAGGCGGCTGCTGCGGCTGGATGAGACCTCAGGGTGGCTCAGCGTCCTGCACCGCATTGACCGTGAGGAGGTTAACCAGCTGCGCTTCACCGTGATGGCCCGGGACCGTGGGCAGCCCCCTAAGACAGACAAGGCCACGGTGGTGTTGAACATCCGTGATGAGAATGACAATGTGCCCACCATTGATATCCGGAAGATTGGGCGCATCCCACTGAGGGATGGAGTGGCCAGCGTGGCTGAGGACGTGCTGGTGGATACCCCCATTGCCCTGGTGCAGGTATCAGATCGGGACCAAGGCGAAAACGGTGTGGTGACCTGCACCGTGGTGGGGGATGTGCCCTTCCAGCTCAAGCCAGCCAGTGAAGGTGAAGGGGAGCCGCAGAACAAGCGCAAGTACTTCCTCCACACCTCAGCCCCTCTGGACTATGAGGCTGTACGTGACTACAATGTGGTGATTGTAGCTGTGGACTCAGGCAGCCCCAGCTTGTCCAGTAACAACTCCTTGCTAGTGCGGGTTGCAGACACTAATGACAACCCTCCTGTGTTCGGCCAGGCTGTGCTGGAGGTTTCTTTCCCAGAGAACAATCTGCCTGGTGAGAGGGTGGCCACAGTTGTGGCCACAGATGCGGACAGTGGCAAGAATGCCGAGCTCACCTATTCCCTGGAGCCCTCACCCCTCTCCTCAGAGTCACCAAGCGGCATCTTCAGCATTGACCCCGACTCTGGGGATGTGTCTGTGCAAGTGGTGCTGGACCGTGAGCAGCGTGACACCTATGAGTTCCAAGTGACGGCCCGAGACAAAGGGGTGCCATCACTGCAGGGCTCCACCATGGTGGTGGTGCGGGTGGCAGATCGCAATGACAATGAGCCGCGCTTCATGCAGGATGTGTTCACTTTCTACGTGAAGGAGAACCTGCAGCCCAACAGTCCCGTGGGCATGGTGACTGTGATGGACTTTGACAAGGGGCGCAATGCTGAGCTCAGCCTTTCCATACAGCCCAGTGATCATGACCAGGCAACTGGCATCTTCTCCATTGAAAATGACACAGGAACCATCTACTCCACAGTCTCATTTGACCGGGAGCAGCAGACCAGCTACACCTTCAAAGTGAAGGCGGTGGATGGGGGTGAGCCGTCACGTTCGGCCACTGCTACTGTGTCCCTCTTCGTAATGGATGAGAATGACAATGCGCCCACTGTTACTTTCCCCAGCAACAGCTCCTACACTGTGTTGCCGCCCTCCAGCAACATGCGCACTGTAGTGGCCACGGTGGTTGCAACTGATGCTGACACCGGTCTCAATGCTGACCTCAACTACAGCATTGTTGGAGGAAACCCCTTCAAGCTCTTCGAGATTGATCCAGCCAGTGGCGTGGTATCACTGGTGGGCAAGCTGGCCCCTAAGCACTATGGCCTGCACCGCCTTGTTGTACAAGTGAATGACAGTGGCCAGCCACCCCAGTCAACAACTGCCCTGCTCCATGTCTTCGTCAATGAGAGCTTGTCCAATGCCACCGTAGTGGAGGGCCAGGTGGCACGCAGCCTCCACACACCTCTGGCCCAGGACATTGCCGGTGATCCCAGCTACGAGCTGAGCAAACAGCGCCTCAGCATTGTCATCGGTGTGGTGGCTGGCATAATGACTGTCATCCTCCTCATCCTGGTGGTGGTCATGGCCCGCTACTGCCGCTCCAAGGGCAAGCATGGCTATGAGGCTGGCAAGAAGGACCATGAGGACTTCTTCACCCCACAGCAGCATGACAAGGCCAAGAAGCCCAAGAAGGACAAGAAAGGCAAAAAGGGCAAGCAGCCTCTCTACAGCAGCATCGTCACTGTCGAGGCCTCCAAGCCCAATGGGCAGCGCTATGACAGCGTGAACGAGAAGCTCTCGGACAGCCCTGGCATGGGCCGCTACCGCTCAGTCAATGGTGGCCCGGGCAGCCCCGACCTAGCCCGGCATTACAAGTCGAGCTCACCACTGCCCACCGTGCAGCTGCACCCGCAGTCCCCCACTGCTGGCAAAAAGCACCAGGCCGTGCAGGACCTGCCCCCTGCCAACACCTTCGTGGGCGCTGGTGACAACATTTCCATTGGCTCGGACCACTGCTCCGAGTACAGCTGCCAGGCCAGCAGCAAGTACAGCAAGCAGGTAAGGGCAGCGCCCCGCGTCGGGCACGCACACATGCGAGCACACGGTCATGCACACACATTGCATGAGGGGTGGCGGTGTCTGTCACCGTCAGATGCATCACCCCTTCAGTCTGGTGCCTGGAGCATACCTGGACACACACCAGGCAGGAAGGACGGTCAGGGATGGCTGTTTTTACTATTTCCGTTGTAAATCCCACTTTGCAGAGCCCACACCGACTCTGTGGTACCGCCCCTGGGAGGTGCCGGGCGCGGAGCCCCCCTTCCTTACAGCGCAGCCGGACTGGGGGCGGGCCGTTAACCCAGGCGGCGAGCTGCGCACAGCCCGGGATGACCCTTTGTCGGCTCCCGCAGCCCGTTAGGTCCCGTTGTTGGGGAGGTGGGCAGGAGCACCGCCTGGGTTGTCCGGCGGAGCCCAGCAGTCTCACTCGGGGATGGGGAGGGTCTGAGTCCCAGGCATGCGGTGAGCTCCGGCTGGGGACTGAAAGTTTCGCATTTAAGAGGGTCAGTGAGAGTGGGTGTGCAACCGCCGCGCTGAAACGCTAATGGCTGTAATTATCAGCTCGTTCATTAGGATCGCGGCGCTTTCACAATCTAGAAAGCCTATAAATGGTCTGATATACATCACTGAGATTTTACTGATGTTCAGCAGTTGCTCTGAATACACATAAAGGTTAGTGAGCTTAGAATCGGACCTTAGCATGCTTCCGTTCCTCTTTTTTTCTTCCCCCGTTTTTTCTTCCCTTAATGCACATCACATGAAAGTCATTAACTCAAAGCGAGGGGCCGTAATTTTCCAGTCCAGCTTCTGCACGGCTCTGCTAGCAGAGCGGCTGCTTTCCCCGAGAGCAATGTAAGCGCACTGAGCCTTCCTTCAGCAGCGCTCTCAGTGCCCGGCTCTGATCTCGGCTGTGCCGTGCAGGTCGGTGCAGTGAGGCCCCAGCAGAGTAAAACTGCTAATGGCAGGAACTGCTTTACACAGCAGTAGAGGGCTAGCATAGCGGGGAAAGGAGATCCTAAATGAAAGGTTTGTTAATTTTATAAGGCACATATGTAGCCTGAACAGAAATGATTTTCTTTTTGGGCATACTTTTACGGATTGTGAAATGAGGTGTTTTAAACGCTGGGTGATTCCCTTTGCATCCTTCCGTGTAAGATAATATTCGAAGTGCGTCCTCTCAGCTCCAATGTGTGTTACACAAGAATCTAGAGATAAATGAATGCTGATTCATGTGAATAGAGAGCCAAGCCTGAAACAGGAACACACTGATTAGTTTGACAAAAATGCTTTATTTCCACCTTATTAACATGCAAATATGGCACAGTATGACATTTTTTATACTTTGAAATGTCTGTTAGACTACTACAATTGAAGTTTTACACTGTGTAACCAGTACTTGTATTCTGTGCAGGACAAAAAAAAAAAAAAAAAAAAGATTTATAATGTAAAAGGAAATGAAGTCACACCATCTTCCAGATCAACAATAGTTTGTGACTGAAGTATTTTTGCCAGTATTTCTGCGTATGTCACACAGATGTTTTATAGAACATTTGATGTGGTAGTTTCTGGGTGATATATTTCATTACCGCTGGAGGTAATCTTATAATTTCAGTTTTAAAATACAGTCTTTGTAAAATACAAAGTACTGAAAAAGTTCCAGAGCTTCCATCTAGTAAGACTTATTAAGCACAAAGCAGATTGTGCCTTTTTAGTGAGTACTGGACCAGCGAAGTAGAAGTGAAACAAATGCTAATCAGATGCTACTTCTGTCTTGCTGCTGCAATTCATCTAAACACGAATTAAAAACTGTCAGAAGTGTAATTTATTTTCAATGTAAAAGAATGACTTGCATGCTAAATTTGCCAGTGGTAAAGGATTGCAGCTTACTATTTTGCTTGATTAATAACCTTATCTGAAGTTATGTTACAAAAATACTCTTTGGTTTACTTAATGTTCTGCAAGCATATATTTTTGATACATAATCTTTCTTCTTTGTAGAAGAAAATGGCTTTATTACACTTCCACTTGCAGCAGTCAAACTGAAAGAATGTATTCTTAGTTGCTCTGTTATTTACTTGGCTTTTTACGTAGCTAGTTTCCCAGTGTTTGTGAGGTTTCCTGTGCTAAACGTGTAGCTTGTGAAAGTGAGTGTACCTGAATAGTTTATAGCAGATGGTCTAATGCCTTGTCTTTGAATTTTTAAATACGTGGAAAGTACTTGTATGCTTGTAAAAGGTGCTTCTTAGTTAAGGAAAGTTTCCAAATAAGAATTTAAAGCAGAGAACCTCGGGCATAAAACTTCTGTTAATGGTTTCTTATGAGTACTTACCAGCTTGATACTGAGTGATGTGCATGTAGTTTTGTTCTTGCTTTTGCACTCATGAAGAGATATTTGCATTAATAAGATGTAGATCTTTCGCTTCTCAAACACAGATAATGGAGTATTTTATCTGTTTATCAGGAAAAAGTACACTAGCATTTTTAACGCTCAAACCAGGTGAAATACTTGTTTGGCATGTTCTTGAGAGAGTGATGTGAGACAATTGCAGATAAATGTGTATGATGTGGTGTATATTGGAGTGTTTCATAGTTCAGCTGTCCATATGAAATAGAGCCAATGGCATAGTAATGTGACCACGATAGGGAGATTAGGTGAAATGCCTCTGGTTGCCTTTATTTAATTATTGATAGTTTCCTTTGTTCTAAGGAGATTTTAAAGGATGTGTGAAGCTTTAAAATAAATAAATGGACATAGCTGGATGTATTTGTTCTAAGTTATTAGAGATGAGAGCAATGCTCATTTTCCATTAATGTAGTTAGAACAGGTAATTGATACTTCCACATATTCACAGTTTCACTGTCAGGAAAGTAAATCTCTACTTAGGTGACTGATTGGTGTTCCCCAGTGAATATAAGCTGTTTTCCTTCTTATCATTTGACACTTCCTTTTTAAGGTAGTGTGTTACACATGTGTTCCCAAATACATCTTGTTTGATAAAATGCGTTATAGTAGAAATAAATGGGAGAAAGCTGAAAACAATTTGTAACTCCCCTCCTTTAAGTATTTTATATGAAGATTAAAGCTAAATTTTGCATTTGACAGACTTTCTTTTCTGGAAGATGTTCTAGATTTTTTCTAGAAGGTGTCCAAATGCAATTTTTTTTTAAACTTACCCTTGTTCTTTTCTGCATAGTAGTATTCTCTGAAATTTTCTTTTAGCCTCCCACTTTGCTGTTCTGTCCTATTCTGTAAAGCTCTTACACATCTGGCAAGCTAATGTTTAAATCCCTTAACATTCCATCAATCTTAATCATTTGTTCAAAGTTAAACTTGTACAGAAGTATTCTGCTGTATCAGGATGCATCCAAGGAAATGTTTTTCTGGATTGTAGATGTAAAATTTGAACCCTCCTGGTGCTGAACATTGCCAGTCATCGCCCAGGGTACTGTCAACTTCTAACAAAGACAGCAAAGAAAGCCCAGTGCATAGCAGCAATCACTCAGTGATTTGGAGAATTGCATCCTTAAATATAATTCTAAATCTTACTTTACTATTGTAAACAATTGTGTATTTCCTCAAATTAGTTACAAGTATATGTTTTTTAGTACATACTGTTTTCTGCACTTTCATTGCCATCAAACTAATAGCAGGTGAGTGGATTTATTTCACTGAAATTTCTCATAGTGACTATGAGATTAGCATGTTAATGACCTCTCTTTGAAGAATAAGCCTTTTTGAAGAAAAGCCTGTTTATATGTGTATTTATTTTTTATGTTCATCATTTTCTCTTAACTTCTCTCTTATTTTTTCCACTCAACAAAGAATGTTTTTTGATTACATGAAAGACTGTACTTTTTACTTTATTTACGCATTTTTACCTAAGAGCTGCAGGTCACCATCTTCAGCTAGAAGAACCAGTACAGGGATTTCTGAGCAGCATTATTACTTTTCTTGGAGTATATTCTTTTCTGATCAGTTCTTTGTGAATTGCTCCTATGCCTTTCCTCGTTTGAAATGTACTATTGAGTGAAGAGAAACATTTAGGACATCAGAGTGTGCTGACACACTAATCAAGGCAGAATATGTGTCTTGATGTTACAAAAGCAACTTGGGATGTTCCATGACTAGGGAAGAAATGGAACTTGAGGTAAATTTACAAACATTTCACCAAAATTTAATTTCTGAGAAGGTAAAATATATAAAAATAAATTTTTGAAGAACTTTTTTTGTAAAGTAATTAAATAATCTGTTTCATGATCTTCCAAATGTTATCCAGTCTGTTGCACTGCAGGTGCATTTTGGCTACTTGATTATTAGGCAGTTGAATTGTATCTATTCATATAAATTGGTTAGTTTCCTTATAAGCATGCACATGTAACAAGAGCCGTAATGGGAACCAAAATTGATACATTAAGGGATCAATCTGCTTAACAGTGCAGGAAAGCATGTTTTTTAATGTACAGACAGACACATACATGCGTAAACTTAGATCAAAGACTGCCATTTAAAATCACATAGCGCCTTTCAGTAGTAAATTTTTTCAATAACTTTCACCTTAATAAACATTCTACAATGTAATAGAAACACTGGGTAATGTGCAGAAAAAAATAAGAACTTGTTCTTAAATACTTGCATTATAAACACTTGCATTGGTAGCTTTTTAAAAATATCTTTTTAAAGATATTTAACTTCAAAACTGTTCAGAGCAAGGTGTCCAGAAATGTATTTCAGTTTTCTATTCTCAGTTTGCATTATATTGAATATTTTACAATGAGTTTTTTAAAGTGATCCACATTTGACCTTCAGTAACAAATTATGATGAAAGAGGGGCTAATTAAACATAAAATAGATAGATTGTTGATGCTTTCATTATCTGTATTTAACACAAAGTGTTCTGCTGATAAGTACAGTCTTTATTTTTTTTCCCTCTTTAGTAAAATAATCTTGTAGAGTGTGCAAATGACTAAGTTACCACTGAATCATACTGCACTCCCAGGAG